CAATGACACAGTGTCTCAACAAGCACTAACCAATACAGGAGATCCTTATACAGTGACTTTAATAACACCATTGTGAGATATAACACACTGTAGCACTGTCTTCCTGTTATTGATTTGCTTGAGAGGGCCCAGAAATGTCTCCATTGTGACAATTGTTACTGTATTTGGCATATCGAATACATCACGGGTAGCTTGCCAGGCTCTGCCGTGCGGGTGAGATACTCTCGGTAGCTTGCCGGGCTCTCCGAGAGGGGCGGAGGAATCAAACCGGCTTGGCTGGGTCAGCTGCGCACAAGGTCCTACCGCTGTGCTATGGCTCCAGCCCTGTGAGATATAACAACTATCACACATTGACTCGTTTGTTAATTTTGTAAAAGTTTTGATAATTCCATTTGCCTTTGTCCTGTAACAAGCAATATGGAGTAAATTTATCTGTACCTGAAAGGAGGCAGGCTAGGGTGGTGGGTGGGAGACAGGGAACATTGATAGAGAGAAGGGCACACTGGTGGCGAGATTGGTGTTGGAACATTTAATGCCTGACACAACTGTATTATGAACAACTTGGTAAATCACAGTATTATAATAAAATTGTAAAGGGGAAAAAAGGGAGGGGATAAATCTTCGAAACAGATTTTTCTGGGATGGTTCTGGTATTTAATTCCTATTATAAAGTAATTAAATGTGTATTCACATTTGGGCCCAGATAAAACATATTTTCACCATAACTGAAAATATTTTCAATTATCTAAAAGTAAATGTAGAACTGAGCCATTTAAATTTGGTTCCACACTAATATTCATAGTATATGAATATACTTCTTTATGAAGGACCACCATAAAGGTACACTATCACTGTCCTCCCGTTCGTTGTTCATCGATTTGCTCTAGCGGGCCCAGTAACGTCTCCATTGTGAGACTTGTTGTTACTGTGTTTGGCATATTGAATATGTCACAGGGAGCTTGCCAGGCTTTGCCGTGTGGGCAAGATACTCTCGGTAGCTTGCCTGGCTCTCCGAGAGTGGAGGAGGAATCGAACTCGGGTCGGCCCGGTCAGTTATGTGCAATGGAAATGCCCTACCCGCTGTAGGATTTTAAAATAATTGATGTAGAATATATAGCCTTTCACTTGAAAATGAGTGTTTTCAAGATAAGCTGTGACCACTTTTCCCTGGGAATTTTTGACAAAGCAAAGTTTTTCTTGTCACAAACAGAAAAGCTTATAAGGTAAAATGAGTAATAGATTTGGGAAACAGTGATAAGAAAGGATGGACTCTATAAGGAACTAGAGCTCAATTACACAGTAATTATTCAAAGATCCATTCGTTTAAAAAACATCATGTTGGATTGGTGGGCAGATGCTCCTAGTTTGGTTATACTTTATTCATTCAATAAATATCGATTTAATATCCAATGGCTATTTGAAACCTAGGGTTTGCTCTAAACGCTTTGAGGTTCTTTCTCATTCTATTAAGAAATTGTCTCATGGTAAAACAGAATGAATACATAAAGTCTTTAAAAATAAATGACAGAAAGAACTCAAGTAAAATATATAAAGGGAAAAGACAAAGAATACCAAAGAAAATATTTTTTTAAAATGAAGTTTTAATCTGCATCAATTGCAACAATAAGCAGTCTAATAATACTTCAGAAATAGCTAAAAAACTTCAAGTATCAATAACTATATTGATTTTGAAAATAACTTTTTATTAGACATTTAACCAAGAAAGTGGTTTTAAGATAGGAATATATTAGTTTATTAACAAGCTTTTTACTCCCCAATGAACTTTTTAAACTAAAATTTCATAAAAGAACAGTTAATTAATTCTAATTCAAATTCTCCAAATACTAAGAACAAAGAAGACGAATAGCAGTGAATGTATCTTTCTTCTCCAATAAAATGGAAAGCCGGATCACTGACTGGCAGGTAGAATCTTCTTTCCCCGCTTATGTTTGTTGAGGAAGCCAAGTGTGAGAAGTTAACCAAATTGTCTGGCAGAATGGTCTAGGGTACTAAGATCTACAGCCCTTGTTGCCTTCAAAGAAAATGAAGTAAGTATAAAATAGGTCAAAATTAGAGACTGACAGTGGATTATCACAGTGATCTTAATAGTTTCAAATACTTCTGTTTTGTTTTTGGCCATACCTGGCGGTGCGCAGGAATCACTCCTGGCAGGTTTAGGGGATCATATGGGGTGCTGGTGATCAAACCCAGGTTGGCCACATGCAAGGCAAGCACCCTACCTGCTGTACTATCTCTCCAGCCCTGACAGTTTCAAATTTCTTAATTTGAATAGGGAGCATAAAATTCTGTATTCTTTTTTAAATTAAAAATTCATTTATACAGGTTATATTACTTCACCTTGGTATCTTATTTCCTGTGTTGTCAAATTCCAGGAAAACTGAGAAAGGGCTCCTAATACATATTAATAATGAAAGGAACTACTACTACTACTACAAAAAAATAACAACATAATGAACCTCAGAAAATTAAGAATTTTAAGTGTATTTTATAGTAAACAAATGACTATTCTCTACAGATTCATACTATTGCAGTGCTTTAAGACATACTGCCTTTATTGTACAATATTATGTAATTTGTTTTTGCCAATTTTGGTTGATCTTCACTTCAGGTACATCACTTTCCCCCCACCCTCCACTTTTAGAACCATCCTACTATAAAATCTGAAAATAACTGCTTTGTTTTAAACAGATATAATTTTTTTTATTTCAACACTATAACTGAATTCCAGATAGAGCTCATCCTATAGCAGTCCAGATTCCACTCGAAAGGTTTTTCTACTCCAAAGCTCCAAGACATTCTTGTTCGGAACGCTTCTCCCAGCTTAGATTTCAGCACACAGACTCAACATGGTGTGACCTACCTCTTGGCTCCACTAGCAAGTTTACTCAAAAAGCAATGAGCATGAAGGAGACCGTGGCTGACTTGCAGCAATGGTTTTAGTTGTTTCTTACTTACTGAGGAGAATATTCTCCAATTCATGCACGTTTTGAGAGGCTGGCTTAACTAACACTGAGAACTATTTTTTTTTTTTTGAGAACTATTTTTTTACATACCTTAGTTTAAACTGTATCCTCTGAAGATCTATCTATCTCTGGGACAGCATTTTCTTCCTAGGCACGAAAGGGTTTAAGATCATGTAAGACTTAAAATTCTCTTGCTAGTTTAATCAGTTGCAACCAAGGATTCTCAACCTTTTGAAGTGATGAGCCATTATAAGACTATCCAGTGCTGGTTCAGTGTTAAGATACACTTGAGTTTACATTTGCATAACTGTTGTCTCTGTTTAAAATTCTTGGGTAGGGAAAGGTAGGGAGAACCACAACTTGGAAACTGAAAATATAATCATTTTACATAGCCCACTAGAGCCCACCAACTTCCACCTTGATGCCAAGCAGAAAAGTCTCGCCATCAGTTTCCTCCCTTCTGCCAAGATTCAGTGGAGCTCCAGAAGGGTGGGCAGGAAATAAAGGCGCTTAGATAGTCAGTGTCAAGCGTTTTCCAAAGAAGTCGATTTTGTGGAACATCCCTTTTATCTGCTTGTTCCTTCAATGTCACTTCTCTGTTAAGAGGAATGGTGTCCCTCTGGTTCTCTCCTTTCCCACAAGTTTGTTGATTTATTCAAGTTAGCCAGGAGCTCAGAATTTTAAAACTTTGGAGTACTTCTAAATAGGCTGAGAATTCCTGGTGTGACCAAAAATTATGTGGCCTTAAGCCTATTAAATTTAGTATTTTAGCTAGAAATAAAGGACTTAACTTCACTACAACAATATTTTCCAATGGTTAGTATTTATAAGGAAAAATATACAAATTACAAATATGCATTACTGTAGCACCACAGCATGCAAATTAAAGAGTTCTCAGCCAGAGCATTTTAGAAAATAAGTTTTTAAAAATATTTGGCTAGGCAATTAAACTTATATGATGACTATTATTCTGACTGAATTATTCTAAGAAAAATATAACACAAAACCAAAATTTCCTTTTAAAAGATAAAATGTTGGCTTAGTTATACATGTTTACATTTTCCAGAACTCAAGAAGCTATTCCTTAAAATTTCATAATTTTTGAGATTTTATCAGTAGAGAGGTATCAACAGCTTCATTCTCATTTTCAGTTCTCTACATCAACACCTCACTCATCAATATATCATTTCATGTGTTCAAGATGATTGGATCTGGCTTAATACTCTGCTACAAGAACAGAACTATCTGTGGCTTAAAATAAAGGTAAATAGCTTATAGAATACTGTACGATCTGAAATGATGGGACTCTAAAGATCTGAAGATCTGGCAAATTTAGAGCCTCAATTTACCATAATTGTTTATCCAGCTTGACACAGAGTTTTGTACATGTGAGAATCTGATTGAGCTATAAGTTATAAATAGATAAAGCTACACACATGGACACAGATTCAGAAGGATCAGGGTGTGACTCAATAACCCATCTGGTTAGTCAATCTCTTGTAGCAGTATGAAGAAAGCCCAAACTTTTCCAGAACATCCATAAAAGTGTTATGTAGGATCTGGATAACCTACTTCTTTTTTTTTTTTTTTTTTTTTGCTTTTTTGGGTCACACCCAGAGATGCTCAGAGGTTATTCCTGGCTCTGCACTCAGGAATTCCTCCTGGCAGTGCTTGCGGGAGCATATGGGATGCCGGGGATCGAACCCAGGTTGGCCGCGTGCAAGGCAAATGCCCTACCCACTGTGCTATCGCTCCAGCCCCAAACCTACTTCTTATAGCTACAAAAATTCACAGTCCAGAGTATTACTGTTAATCAGTAATGTTTCATAAAAGCAGGATTTGGGCACTGTGATCTAAGAACAAAAAGACTAGCTGGGACAGCTCAGAATCCTCCCAGCTACATGGCTGCTATTTGAATCTGAGACTTCAGACAGGATAAAACAAACACGCAAATCATTTAAATTTTAATAAAAATGTGAATCATTACTACAGTGAATAAAAATTCATGAGTCAGAATAGCATGCAATTTTTTTTTATTGTTTTCTAAATCTATTTGTACACTTAATACTCTCTATTAACTTCACAAACAGCATACAGGTCACAGTGATATTAAGCTGAATATACTCTTCAGAAAAGGAACAAAACATGGCCTGTGAAGTAATTGCTAATTATACAACACTGTAAACTAATACTATAATTATTTAACTGTTCAATATGTCAATAACATCCCACCTTTAAAAAAAACTGGTTAAAACATTTGTTAAAATCACGCAAAGTAAACACTTCATGAAAATGTTAGTGACTCTTAAATACTAAGAAAATGAAATCCAATATAGCAACTAGCAAGTGCAATGACTGGTCAAGTAAATAAATTATTCATTAAATTAATAAAAATTCATTAGATGATAACCATCACAGATATAATACTAAAATTCAGGTACTAGCACACCTACAACCTCAACATATAGTCTTCTCTGTGACTGAAATACACTGCCAAAATCAATTCTACATAAATAATGTTCAAACAATAAAAGGTCCAATGCTTGGAACAGGTATATTTCTAGTTCACTCAGTACTGAAATATGATCATTCCCATCACTCTATTAACAATAAATGAGAAGTCACATCAGTCTTATCTTTTATCTTTGTTAGGTTTTTAATCTTTAGAAAGTATCTCCTTTTATATGATCCTTCTTCAGAATCAATGTGTTAAGAATAGACAAAGTAAATAAACTATGCCCTGCTACAGAAGACAATAATTTCATTTAACCTAGTTATTTCCTTGTCAACTGCCAGTTGACATGGATGTTTCTGTTGTAACTATCTCCTTGTTTGTCTATTCCAAAATATTTATTACTGACTATTATTATTATTCATGTTATCCTGATTTCCCAAAGCATTTAGTATCTTTCCTTTCATTGCAAGGGTCAATAAGAAATGTTGGGAACACAATTTAATGAGTTAGAGTAGACCAGGATGGGTTCTCAAGCAGGTGGATGGTGCTTGAAACCAGGTCTGGGAGTGTCTAGAGACCATCCAGGTGACAGGGAGGTCATTGGCCTTCCCTATAGGCCATGGCCCTTACACCTCTTAATCGCCAGTTACTGGGGCTATACTTTATGCACCAATGACTTACTTTCTTATCAAGTTTCATAGCCCTCTTTATTGTATATTTTCTACTTAAATTTTTAAAACTTTTTAGTCAGCAATTTGTCTAGTATATAGAATACTGATTCTCAACTTACAGAGCATTTACTTTTAATCTTTGAAATACTCTAATGTTTCCATTTCTATTTTGATTCTAAGAGCAAAACTTATTTCTGCTTCATCTAACACCATATCTTTTTTCAAATATTTGATGAGTATATGTTCTACAAAAAGGGTTTATAGTATCTTATTTTGTTTGGCAAATTAAGCCCTCTGTTTAATAAACTACTTCTGACTTTACTCTCAAATCTTATCTCAAAAAGTTTGATGGGGTTATATACCAATGAAAGTTGAAAGTAGATGAGTTCTTAAGCGTCTAACTAAAATCATGGTGGAGGCTGATTGGTGAACCATCATCCTTTCCTACCTATACTTTCCTATACTTTCCTTTGTTGAATATTATGCCTTCTCACCCATTATTTCTAATGACATATACAAAAATGACATGCATGGACAGCTTCACTATAAAACTCAATACAGTGACACTATGCTACTTCTGCTTATGTTTCCTTAAAGAATGCTTTCTCTTTCCTCTCCAAAACCTGTACTCTCAGGAGAGGCAGCTGCATGAAGCTCTGAAGAATCTTTTGAAAGCCTTGTGTAACTTGAACGCTGGCTTCGCTTGTGTGCCATGCTTTTCAGGTTTTCATTCTGATTAGAGGTGGGGTTGGAGCTGGGACCAGGTCTTAAAATGACCTGTGAAGTATCCCTAATTCCCTCCATTTCATCGAAATTCTGATTAGCTCTGTTGGCTGGAGCACTGTTGTTGTTCAGAGTCACAGTACTAGGTGTTCGATTCAGATTGTAGGCTTTTTGGCACGAAGGCCAGTTTTCTTCAGGGCTGCTGGCTATCAAGCTACACTCAGAAGGGCTTTTCTTGTCTTCGGAGCAAATGGACATACGAGCTATGATTGGATCCTGTAGGCCACTCAAGCTATGTGGTATTCCCCGTTTGCTAGTGTGACCATCATCTTCGAGTTCTATGAGGTTTGCCTTCTCAAGCTGGGAGTCATCAGCAGCTTCATTGTGAAGAGAGTGGTTAGGAGAACTTTCATTGGATCTCACTCCTGAATCAGAGGAATCTTTTTTGTCAAGAAGGGCATCTGATAAATACTCTTTAGCCTTAATGAAGGTTCTAATGGGCTCAGCACTGTGCTCAGGAGACTTTGACACTCTCTCTACTTTCCCTTCAGCCTTTTTATCTTTGTCATCTTTGAGCAGTGGGGTATTATCTGATTCTTCTGGCCCAGACTCATCTTCATCACTCGGAAGTTTCTGATAGCGCAGTCCACCTCCTTTAAGCTTCAAGTCTGTCTGGAAGAGACTAGACCTTTCTGAAGATTTCTTGCCTGAAAGAAGCTTAGTGCCTGACTGATCAGATTTTTCATCTTCTTCAGTGATAGGATCCAAGGGCGAAGCATCACTAGTAGAAACCCCTGATGACGAATAATCTATAACATCTCCCCTCTTCATTAAAAATGACTTCCTTCCATCATCTTGCTTTGGTTCACTGTCCTTCCCTTTTTCTGGTTCTAGATTAGAATGAATAGAGCCCCCTGATGAACTCTGACCCATATAATATGTGCTATGTGGGGAAGATCTGCCACTAATTGTCGCAGAACCTGTTCCCCCTTCTAACTGTGACATCTGAGCAATATATTCTCTATAGGCATCCCTATACTCAGCCTGCACCTTATCAGTAAGCTTTGAAATTTCAATACTGGAATCCTGGGAATTAAGACTTGAGAGACTTGGGGTTCTGCGAGTTTGTGACTGTAAAGACAAAAAAAAATTAATTCAAGTAAGCAAAAACAAAGCCACAAAAATACACCAGAAAATAAAAAGAAAACAAATGTCTATAAACAGTATGTATATATTGAACAATCTCATTGTCATTTTCAAAGGAAAAACATGTAACAGGTTTCCCCACAAAGCTGTCTCTTTGACAACAACAAATGGACTTAAGAAAATAGCCATTACAGCTCAGACAGAGAAGAAAGCACCAAATAAAGGGTGTTGGGAGGATCCTCCCAGGATGGGAGATGCATGCTGAAAGTAGACTATAGATTGAACATGATTGCCACTCAATGCCTCTTTTGCAAACCACAGCACCCAAAAGGAGAGAGAGAAGAAAACGGAATGTCCTGCCACAGAGGTAGGATGGGATGGGGGAGATGGAGGGTGGGATCAGTGAGAGTGGAGAATGGGCACTGGTGGAGGGATGGGTACTTGATTATTGTATAACTGAAACCCAAACACAAAAATTTGTAAGTCTACAACTGTATCTCACAGTAGCTCACTAATAAAAATTAAAAAAAAAAAAAGAAAATAGCCATTAAAAACTAATCTTGCTAATACTCTAAGTAACCCAGGATTGATTTACCTTTATGCCATTATACTATTTTATTTTTTTCCCTTATCAATTTCTGAAATTTTAGAAATTTTATCAACAATCCTTTCCAGAAGAATATAGTTCCTTAACAGAAGGATGTGCTCCATCCTAATCTATAAAATTCACATTGGTACTCAAAAAATTATTTTCTGGGGCTGGAGCGATAGCACAGTTGGTAGGGCGTTTGTCTTGCACGCCATCAACCTGGGTTCAATTCCCAGCATCCCATATGGTCCCCTGAGCACCGCCAGGAGTAACTCCGGAGTGCATGAGTGAGGAGTAACCCCTGTGTATTGCCAGGTGTGAACCCCCCCCTCCCAAAAAAAAGCAAAAGAAAAACAAAACAAAAAAAAGAAATTATTTTCTGAATGATGATAGAAATGCCCAACATAATATCAATGAATTAAATATCTTCTTTAGTCTTAGTTTAAAAATGACAATAAATACCTGCCAACTTAGATTACTGTGACGCGGGGCACCCTCATCCAGGCCAAGTGTATTCAGTTCTTCAAAGCTGAAGTTCAGTGTGTATGGTGCTTGATTGGAAAGCTCAGTATGAGGTAATTCATTGTGTGAAGAATGACGAGCAGATTCACCATGAGAAACTGGGCCACTGTTGTTTTCACTCAGCAAGCGGGGTTCTTCAGGGACCACTTGGCTTTCTGCATTTCTCATTTCTAATACCTTAGCAGAAGGTTAAAATAACATCAATATCCACATTGACAAATCACATTTCAGAAGTTTAGAAATTAACAGATGAGAGTTAAATGTCACTAAATGGTAAAAGCATATTTTAAGCAGGCATACTGCAATGGGAGAAAAAGACACCTCTGAACAGAACAGGATTCAGTTTTGTCAAGCAGCTTAGACAAATGGCACTTACAGCCAAGGAACAGGTGGGAGTCAGTGGACAGAAAATTGCCAAGAAGAGAGGGTGAGGCCCTGGCAGCGAAAAACTTCCAGAACACAACTACCGCTATGCTCACAGACACTCTCCACATGCTCGGACAAGCCTCACCCACAAGGGAATCTGCAGAAAAACCCAGGTATGTGGGACTTGTGACTGAAAACTCCAAGCTCAATGGAACTGGGAATGGGAGACCTCTCCCCATTTCCCCCTTTTTCTGGCAGCTTGGCAGTCACACCCACAAGCTACCTCTGGCCCCACATAATCTCATTAATGGCCATGATCCAGAGACTTAATTTAAATCTCTCAGAAGAGAGCACAGAACGATATGCCATAGCCATGCTGCCAGATCCTGTACCAGGCTGTTTCATCTGGAGCAACCCGGGGGTTGGTGGGGGGGGGGCGGATGAGGCCTTCTCCACCCCAACAGAGCCAGCCATGGCAGTTGAAAACTTCCAGAACTCAACCGCAGCCATGCTCACAGCTGCTTTCCACACACTTGGACGAGCTTCACCCATAAGGTAAAAAGATGATGGGACTGGTGTTTGAATAGTAAATGTAATCAAATATTGTGAACAACTTTATAAAAATAAAATAAATGAGTCTATTTCTGTACATCTTGTACTTTACACTACCAACATCCCAAGAGTAATACACTACATTTGATTGGGTTTAAAGAAGAAGGCAAGCAATCTTAGGGGGAAATATATTTATACAGATATAGATTTAAGCACACAAGGTTCAACCTTTAACAACATGTTACTAATCTTTTATAGAAGGACTTAATGGCTCCTGGGTGAAATACAACAATATTCACATACTTTTCTCTAAGAAACCTTTCTGTCTCATTTTTAGTGGCTTATTCATAACAAGCAATACAACATAAGTTACTTCGGTTCTGCTTGAGGGGCAGGTTTGGAGTTTGGGATAAAAATATGGTGGTGGGAAGGTAAAAAGATGATGGGACTGGTGTTTGAATAGTAAATGTAATCAAATATTGTGAACAACTTTATAAAAATAAAATAAAAAAGAAAGAAAAAAGAGAAGAAAATTGCCAAGAAGCATTAAGAATAAGGGGAAACTCCAGCTGAACTGATTTGATAGGGTTTCTGCTGGTGGCAGGCCAGGTGGTCAGTCTGATCTGGGAGATGGAATCTGAAGAATCCATCAGATACCATGGTCACCAGACACTGAGTGAGGGTTGTCTAAATGGACTTTGAGATTCTTGTTAAAACTCACATTGCAGATAACAAGTTTTACATCCTTCAGATGAGACTCAACAGCGTTAGATCAGGAGAGCCTTTTTTAGTCAGAAACTACAGATAACTGGCATGTATTTAGAAAAAGATCTCTTAATTTTTCAAATAAGATACCTAAAGGGAAAGTTTGAAGAGTATTGCTGGTTTTATTTTGTATAATAAACTACACAACTGTAATCATTGAGTGTAAAGTACAGCTTTTGCATTTTAAAAATATATAAAAAAACAATTCAAACCATATTTACTTATCATCTTAGACCATATAAAAACATAAATATAGAAGCTTTGGTATAATGAAAGTCTACAGATATAAATATCTTACTGTGCTTCTGAAAAGGTGCCAATCTCCAAAATTCATACTCATCTCTTTCTTCAGCTCATCAATGTTACATTGAGCTAATACACGGCCATTTATGTTTGCCTGAATAAAAATATATAAACAAAATGTGAGACATTATAAAATAATTTGTGATTTAAAAAAGTATACTTGCCATTTAAATTCAACAGAGATTAGAAAACATTAGTTCAAAAAGGTTTATCATTCCATGTAATAATATAATAAACAAATTGAATTTGTACAACATAAGCAACTTAATAAAGCCAGGACATTTCCCTATGTCTTAAGTATTTAAGAAAAAGATCATTTTTTTTAAGGAACCAATACAAGTGCTAACCCTTCTAACTATCCCCCAAAATATGTACCCTGAGCAATAACAAAACACAAAGTGTTAATTTGAAAGAACATCTGAAAACCTATGTTCACCACAGCATTATATACAATAGCCAAGATCTGGAAACTATCCAAGTGCCCAACAATTGAACAAAGAAAATGTGGTATTTATACATAATGGAATATTATTCAGTTATGAGAAAAGATGTGCTCTTACAGTTTGCTGCAACTAGAATAGAATTAGAGATTGTCAAGAAAAAGAAGGATAAACACCAATATTTCATGCATATGTGGAATTATAAAGAAACAAGACAACGAATTAGAAAATTTCTGATGGAAACAAACCATGAAATAAGGTCAAGAACTATTACCTAAAAGAAAGGAAATGAGATACTAGTGAAGAGATGTCCATGCCCTGGTGCTGGACCTGGTGCAGGATCACGACAAGAATAAAATAATATTCATGGAAGGGAGGGAGAAAGGAAGTATGATTAGGTCTGATGGTCTGTGAGTCAAGAATTCAGTGGGATAGCCAAAATCTGAAAAGAACCTGAATGTCCAAGAACACAAGATATATAACACTATTTCGGCCATAAGAAAAGATGAAATCATACAGTTTGCTGTTATGTGGATGGATCTGGAGAGTATCCAGATTGAAGTTACCAGGATCTGGAGAGTATCATGTTCAGTTAAATCAGTCAGAGGAAAAGAACAAAACCGGAGTGATCTCCCTCATATGTGGAATATAAGGAAACTTTGTAGGGGAATATGATATACCCAAAGGCAATAGAAATAAAGAGCAGGAGAACTGGTTTTCAGTAAGAAGTTTGCCACTAGAGTGTGAGTGGGGATAACTTATGGAAGGGAAAACTTGGACAATTGTGAAGGTTTGGAAATGTGCCCGCTACAGAGGCAGACTGGGAAGCAGGAAGGAAACTGGGGACATTGGCGGAAGGTAGTGGATAATTGGTGAAGGAACTGGTGTTGGAACATTGTATGCCTGAAACTCAATCACAAATATTTTTGTAACTTTGTAATTCTCAATGATTCGATTAAAAAAATAAACAAAATCCACACAAAGAATTCACATTGGAGACTTCATTCTTTCCTGATGTTACTCATGCTTTCATAGGAGAAAGTCAGTTGTACCTGGGAGAGGCAGTAAGTGATGCTTCTGCAAATAGGGATCAACACTAACTAGGTCTGTAGAGATGTTATCTGAAATCTGACTAAATGTAAGTAAAGTTGAGTAAAATAGTATCAGTATTTCCTTTAAAAAAAACTTTAAGGGCATTGTTTAAATATACCAACATTAGAGACTTATTAATAATATGCTTTATCATTAATTTTAACAGTGGCTTCATTATGGTTATCTGTTAAAAAAAAAAGTATACTAAATGGAAATATCTATGACCAGGACTAGTATATTCCTTGCAATCAGACATCAATGTCCAACTTTGTGGAAGTTACCAGAGTTGAAAGAATGGGATCTAGGAAGAAATAAACTTCCTCAAATGTAGCTTTACAAATACATACCTAAGTGGTTTTATCAAAAGGAATATGATCATAGATCCTATTAGGCATGAAAATGAGATTATTTTTGGAAAATAAATAAAACAAGTATGGCTTACTTTGATAATTATCAAGGCACAAATAAATACAATTGAAGAAAATGTAACAGAAGAAACCCCTTCCAATTTCTATGTTGTAACTTATGAATTACTGTGCATCTAAATGTGAAATCTCATTTCTTATCAAGATTATTTTCCCTCGTTTTTTCAATAATGCTGTAATATAGCTATTTTATTTTCCTTGACCAATTCTGACTAAGGGATGTAGGAAAGTTTTAGAATAAAAATAGTAAGAATCAGGTTTCCATTTCCATTTAAATTTCCCATTTCAATAGAAAACCTGTCTTTGAGAAGCTGAACACAAAATGGTCACTCTCTAGAGCCATTATACCATACCCTCGCCCTGCCTCAAGCCAGCGAGTAAATGCATACATCACCTTTTTGATTGTTGCACAATACTGGGGCAGCATACTCTGGTCCAACCCTTCTATTTGTTTCAGTTTCTCACAAATTGCATCCACATTCATTGAGTTCAGTGATATCACTGGTCCAGAGGCTGGGCCTGATCCCTAGATAAGTCATGGTTAAGATTAGATATGACAAAAAACATTTGCTGACACACACAGTGTCAAGTGCCAGAGAAACATACATAAAGTTATACTATGAAACACTTTGATGAATAACACATTTTCAAAGTGAAAACAGGCACATGTATAATATAAGGAAATGCCAAGAGGGAACAGATTTAACCACTGCTGGATTTGAATGAGTACCTTGTTTTCTAGCAGATACAACCTGATACTGGCCACTTTTCTAACATGGAACATTCCATGATCTAAGACTGCTAACTTCTCAACTATTTATTGTCTAAACTGGAAAAAGAGAGAGGCAATAATACAGGAAGAACAGGGATTTGAAAAAAGGGGAGAAAGCAAGTGATTTTTACTATATTATAAAATTACAAAAGATAAATCTAAAAAATAACTTTAAAGTTTCCTATACTGGGGCTGGAGTGATAGCATAGCGGGTAGGGCATTTGCCTTGCACGCAGTCAACCCGGGTTTGATTCCCAGCATCCCACATGGTCCCCCGAGCACTGCCAGGAGTAATTCCTGAGTGCATGAGCCAGGAGTAACTCTTGTGCACTGTCAGGTGTGAACCAAAAAAAGCAAAAAAAATATACTATACTAAAGAGATTAGATGTCTCCTATACTAAAGAGATTAGATGTCTCCAGAGATTACCTTAATAGTATATAACACAGAAGCTTTAACTCTTGATCATACCTTATATCCAGATTTACTCTTTCCCTTAACAATCTATACAATAATCACGTACACAGAAAACAGTAGTATTACCTCTTGGACATGTGAAAATAAGAATTTTATTAAAATTTGGTTTCATTTAAAGGAAAAGCCAAATTAATAAATAACTCTAGTACTTAGGAGGAATATTTTTTGAATGCGATAGTGACGAAGAAGTATCTGTCTATGTCCCACTATCCATGAATTACCCCAGGTGCAGATGTGGACACTGAGGCCTAGAGAGGTTGGCTACGAGCCACAGGAAAAAAAAATTCAAAAGAACAAGCCAGTGGCATATACTGGATAGAACCCTGACATGTTTCACAAATTCCCATTTTCTTTATGCCAACTGTCTATTTTTGAGTTTATAGAAATTATTTATACCCACAATGAAGTCAACTAGAATAAGCAATTCTGTCTTTAAAGATGTAAATTTATAATTCCAATGGCTTCTTTTACAATTATCAGTACAAAAGTAGACCATAATATTACAAACTGCCTGCTAGCCAGCTGCTTAAATGTATTCCTAAAGTGAAAGCATAACATTGAATTATGAGTAGATATGTATACACACATAATATATATAGCATATATGAAATACTGTATGTAAGTATCAATAGAGCTATTAGCAGACAGTTGGGATGCTAATTTTCTGAGAGTAAGGGGGTCTTAACAAGCTTATAATATAGGCTCATAAAAATCTGAAAATTAATAACTTGGAATATACTACACAAAACATTTATCCAGGGGTTGTTTTGAATTAAATATGAATATAAAATATGACACATATTATGTGGCTTGAGGTTCAAAAATACTAAAAGCAAAATGCGTAATTTAGTTTTCAATATCCCTACACACAGGTCTGTTTTTCTGCCTGGATGACTACAGCTAATATTCAGAGTGTTAATTATACCCTATCTACTAAGGAAACTTGAAATGTTTTCTATGAATTTTTAATAACCATACTTGTTAAATCATTTATTTCTTTAGTTTAGAGAAGCTTTATTAAAATAATCACGCCCACCCCCAAATCCATACAATTTAATGAATTTTAATGTGTTCACGTAGTTGTGAAACCATTGCTACAATATATTTTAGGTTGCTTTTCTAGCCCTAAATGAAAACTTCTGTACCCATTAGAAGTAATCCCCGCCCCGCCCCCCCCAAGCCCTAGCAATCTTAGGCATCCACTCCCAATCCTAGACAATTTACTTTCCATTTCTAGAGATTGATCTATTCTGGACAATTCATAATATGGAGTTATACAATGTGTGAACTTTTGTAACTAGCTTCTTTCACTTAATATGTTCTCAAGGTTTAACCATATTCTCATCATTCTCTATTGCTCAGAAATATTCATCATTTAAATGAGAATAATGGTTATTACTGGAATTTGTAGAAATAACATATTTTTATTTTTCAATCTGCCTCCTCTATGGACACATTTACATATGTTCACATTTCCTTGGTTCAAAAATCTGAAATTTAATCATCCAAACAACTAATGATCATACTGGATTATGTGACTCCTACACTGAAATTAACACCAGTGAGTCTACAGTGATATTAATAAGTGAATTAGTAATTTTTTTCTCATAGAATTCCAATTAATAAATGTAGAAGAGGAAACCACAAAATGACCAAGAGAACCAGAGGGAATCAGGAAAACACCATAGTAGTGGCTATACACAATAATCGCTGATCAATACCAAAATTAATGGGAAAAAGTTAAACATAAATAAGATATTTGCCAAGTTTCAAAAGCACTTATGTAAAGACCTGGGTTCCATCCCTGGCATCATACACACACACACACACACACACACACACACACACACACACACACACACAAATATTGGACCAGTATTCTCCCAGTGTTAATTAAGATCATGAAAACAAGGACAGACTAACAAAACAACCACAGATTAGAGAACTTTTACAGGAGTTTAAGGAAAATTTTGTTAAGGAGTAATAACAACAAAAACCAAACCATAACCGGATTGGCTCCTAGACCAGAAAAAAATGACACTAGTACAAAAACTGGTAAAATGTAAAAGTCCGTAGTTGAGGTAACAGAATTGTACCAGTTTTAAAGCCAGCTCATGAGAAATATACTATAGTCACAGAAGATGTTAAAATGAAGAAAATATTCTGTACATTTTAAGTCAAAAATTATTTTAAGGGTTTTTCTTTTTGGTTTTGTTTTGAGGTCACACTGGCAGTACTCTGGGGCTACTCTTGGCTCTGAACTCAGGAATTACCCCTGACAGCACTCAGGGACCAGGCTGGAGGCTGGGGATCATACCTGGGTGAGTCGTGTGGAAGGCAGATGCCCAATCAGCTGGACAATTTCTCCAGCCTCATTAAAGGTTTTTGGGTTTTTTTTTAAAAATCATAAAATTCCTTTATTTTTATGTTAAAACATACAAGCACAATAGACATGGAACAGATTAACTGTCAGTAATTTAGGAGGAGAAATGTAAAACATTTTGCAGAGAATCTGAAAATTAATATTTATAAAGATACTATTCTTTCTCTAAAACAAAAATACCACATAATTTTATTTTATCAATTTAAAAAAACACTGCAACAAAGATGCCCACTGGATGTAAAAAAGTATTTTCTTTGATTTCTAGAAACTTTATAGAAAAAAACAAATACTTGTAAGATCTTTGTAATTTCATCAAAACTATAGTCTGAATATTGATCACTTTTACATTGGGCTTTAACACAATACAGGGCAAATTATCAATACATTATAAGATGTTACAATATGCTTCTTTGGAAAGAAGGAAAATGGTAATTACCTGCATGATGTGTAATAAAATTATTTTGAAATCAGATAAATTTTAAAACCAAAGCAGTAATTTTGGATGGAACTATTTTAAAAAGAAGAAATATGATAAGGAAAAAACAAATTCAATTATTTAATAGGTAAATTCTTAATAAAAACTAATTATAGTACTTTGACAATATACAAAATGGTATTACTTTAAAGTTTATAACGCATTTTTATTTGAAATTTACCTGTTTTAAGTCAATTATTTCTCAATTCACAAAATTATTTTCTAATAAGAAAACTTTAAATGCAGATGTTAGTTTGTTTAAACGGTCAATATATAAACGTCAAAATTCACATTAACTAGAAACCTTGAGGTAAAAATCAGGCTAACTTGATACAATTAAATTACTTTGATGTAATTATATAATTTTATACTGTAAGTAGATTAAAATCAAACTTTGAAACATTATTATTTTTGATAAATTGATTAAGCTTAGAATTGATTAGTCAGAAATGGGTGCCATGCAAAGGCTGAAAGCAGCTATCAAAATAAAACTAAAGTCATTGAAATGAGCAGATTTATGAACAGCCCAGCAACTAGTTGCCAATGATTATTTCTAAGAGCCTAAAAGGAACAGTGAGTAAAATTTCACTGAAAGTTTCTGTACCTGTCTCTGTTTGTTAAACCCAGAGTCACACGGCTTAAGGAAGGAATAAAACAGAATGAAGGACAGGAGCTTAAAGTAAAACATCAAACTCACACGTATGATAAGCATAGGGAGACCTTTAACTTTCCATAACTTCACAGCAAACATAGCAAGGAACACTCACGTGCACAAGTATAGCTTAATTTCATTAATATTGCTGTTAAGTTTAAAAGTGTACTCTCAAATTTGTATTCTTTCTATAAAAAGAATAACCATATATTCAATAAGAAAATCTACTGCCATGTAAAGTCAATAATCCTATTATATACAAACTTAAAATTAATGTTTAAGCATTCACTCTGATTAAGGTTACGAGAGTTAACTGATAAGATAAAGTTTAAATATTTGATATTCACATAATCACTTCATAAAATAAATTATTTATACCACAGCCAATATTCATAACTATCTTTTCAAATTTTTATTTGTTTCACTGGACATGGTGAATGTAACAGATGCACTAAAACACTGAAAAAAAGCCTTCAGAGCCTTTAACTCACTAAATTGTGAACGTAATGAAGAAATGCATCTGAGCACTCTGATTAACATCTATTCAGTCATGTAGATTTTTTAAAAAATGAACCCAAAATGTTCACCACTGATATTATTTTCCCCTACTTATTAAATTGGTAACAGATGTTCTCCAAAGTTAAAAATAATCTAGAGATGCCCATGTGGACTAGAAATTAATTTGTAATACTTTTTTAGTAAAATGAAGGGGAAGGCTGTGCTGACCTAATATGATATACTTTTCTTTAAACACGTTGTTACTACGCATGGGAGTCTCGCTCTCTAGTTTATCTCAATCTGACTAGAAAGAGACTTTCCTCCTTATATCTCTTTAGAGCTTAAATATCAAAAGAGGAGTACTAATGAAATAACAGTACACTATAATATACTCAAAACACAAAAGAAAGTTATTGTTAACCTAACTGAAAAATGTAACTTCTCAAGCTATAAGAGAAATTTATCTACTCAAACTTGATAGATGAGGATTAACACTACATTTTAAGGGTAACTTTTAAAATAGCACTAAACAACTGCAATGAACACGACTGTCATTTTTATTAACTCTTAACTATATCCTAGGACTTCAATAATAACATTATTGCAGTATCTTATTTCAGTAAAAATATCTCAACCTATTATAATTTATTAAAAGTTCAGGAAAAGAATGTTTTCTTGAATTGAATTTTGGTATAAAGACTTCCAAGTCAGAAATGAATGTGATTTTTCACTATTAAAGGAAAAATAAACCAATACTTTCACAAACTGAGATGAAATAATTAAAATGTATTGGGGGGCCCAAGAAATAGTACAGAGGTTAAGGTGCTTGCCTTGAGTGCAGCCAACCCCAATTTGATCCCAGGCATCACCCCAAAGCACTGCCAGGAGTGATCTCTGAGCACAGAGTAGGGGTGCCTCCATGAAGGTAAGGGGCGGGGGAGGGGAGACAGAGGGGTGGAGAGAGAGAGAGAGCAGAGAGAGAAAGAGAAAGAAAGAGAGAGACAGAGAGAGGGAGAGAAAGAGGGAGAGAAAAAGGGAGAGGGAGAGAGAGGGAGGGAGAGAGCGAGCACTTTGAATTCTGTAGAAAGCGTGAGTCAGCCCACATGGAGAGTTTCTAAAGCTGACAGGTTCTTCCTGTTGGGAGCCTTCACCCTAAAAACAAGTTGAATGTCCCCCCACCCCCTGCATTCCTTACCCTTGGCATCTTTAACATTCGCATCCAAGTCTGTTCCTGAACAATGAAAGACAGCTTGATTTGGGATATATTTGTTTGAGAACAGGTTATAAACTCTAAACCAGTGGTGGAAATAAAAAACCATCTACAGATGGACCCCATCTTTTTTGTGTGCATGTTCCTTTACTTTTTAATTAATCAGTCCACTGAATGGATCTAGTTTAATGAGATCTAAGACTTTCACAACTTAATAATACCTTTATTAGAATATTCAGTGGCTTTCATCAGTTTTCTAAAGGAAAAGTAACAGCAAAATGAAAACAAGGACACTGCATTAGCACTTGCTTTTGCAATTCTAACGTTATTTACAGTGAGACTGTTATCAGTGATTTGATGCCTTTAAAGTGAGGTATAAGTTACCTAAATAATGTTGCTGACTAATGGTATCAAGTAGCCTCTGTGGCTGAGAAGGTGGAGGGAGAACAACTCAGGTAATACCAACCAGTCCCGTGGAGTTCATGCCCAATTCAATCAGCCTAATCAATGGCTGAATAAATAGCAATACTCCTACATTAAAATAAAAACAAAATACCAATCAGTCCCTTGATAACTCTCAAAATTCATCAGCTCAATGTGGGCAGGATTTTCATGTGCTTTGTACACTGAAACTTCGTACTAGAATACCTTTCAATAAGTATTCAGTATGTTTACTAAACGTGAGCAGTCAAGAGTTATACTGTCCTTCCGTTGTTCATCGATTTGCTCGAGCGGGCCCAGTAATGTCTCCATTTTGAGACTTGTTGTTACTGTGTTTGGCATATTGAATACGTCACGGGTAGCTTGTCAGGCTTTGCCGTGCGGGCGAGATACTCTTGGTAGCTTGCCGGGCTCTCTGAGAGGGGTGGAGGAATCGAACCCGGCTAGGCCGGGCTGGCTGCGTGCAAGGCAAACGCCCTACCGCTGTGCTATGGCTCCAGCCCATCTTTTATATTAAGCTAAATAATTCAAGAAAGAATAAAAGAATAAAAAATATATATACTTATAGGGGCCTAACAGGTAGCTCAAGGGCCGGAGCACTTGTGTTGCATGCCTGATTTCATTCCTGGCACCACATGGTTCACTAAGCCTACTCAGCTGAAAGTGACCCTGGTGACCTCTGACTTGAGAACCAGCATCAACCCCTGTGGACCAAGTATTTTCAAAGTGCTGTCAGAGCACTGGTGGGAAGAGGTTCCTCTTACCCTCCCCCTCACCATCCTACAATGACACAGCATGAAGAGAAATGCTCTATCATATCTTCCTCTGAAAAAAATGCTTTTCAATGAAACCCAACTTCCCACCATGAGTGCTATATCCTAAATAAAAAGACTACAGCACAACAACTCTGAAGCATGATCACAAAATGTCATTAAGGAGGCCTGACTATGTGCTTCTCTTGACAGACCCTACACAACGCAGTGCCACTTTAGAACAAATGTCAGCCGCATGCAAGACAAACAACTTGACCTCACCAGCCCTCAATCAATTTTCAATAGGGTTCATATAAAGTGATTAGCACTCTTCTCTCTAATGAGATAAAGGTTACTTAAAATGAAATCACTTTAGTTTCTAAGTGTCAAAAGTTCCACAGAACTTGGTCTTTGGAATAGTAATAACAACGACTAATAACTTCTAAACTAATGCTAAGACTCAGTAATCCTTAAGTCAGAACTATGAAGTGGTCTGCTTTATCTAGATGAATATGAATGTCTGAGAAATTAAATAATTTATCCCAAAGAAAAAAATTAAACCCCAGCATCTATTTAATGTGAAAGAATACGTATTTGGACTTATTCATGCTTATTAATGGGAAAAAAGAAGGCATGAAACAGAAGAATGGGCTGATCCAGGGCACGCAGACTCCACCCCACATCTGGCGTTGTCTGCAGTGAGCCTGAGTGGTGGTACAGACTCTCAGGCTCTAGTGTCTGTCTCAACAATGCCTCTGGACTAGATAGATCATGGCTACTGATGCTCTCTGAGAGCCCCCTAGAGCAAAGCCAAATCCAAGGTGGGGGCCAGAATTCTCTTCTTACTGGTTTTATAAACAGGAGATCAAATTAAGCTGCCATCTTACCAAAGGGATTTCTGCAGTAAAGGTTTGGAGAAAAACAAAGAGACCTGGTTCCAAGCACTCTGTGAAATATAATGTGGGTCCAATATTAATATTTTCCCCCAATTTTATAAGACTTGGCAGATATTTTCTCTATTATAAAATTCTAAGAAAAAATATTATTAGCTTAGAAAGTTAACTTTGTAAAATACTTGGACATATTTATAATTTATCTGATAACCCTTGGCTGGCTTTCAAAAACTGTAAGTACTATAATATTCCTTTTGTGTGAAAGTCAATTATTTTTATAATGATTAACTTTATAAAGGCTTAAATTTCTTGTGGTAAAAAAAAAGATGGGCCCACCTGTAATGAAAAGACTATATGGTGAAATCTGACCTTTTTTTTGGTATTTTAAAATTTACTTATTTATTTTTTTTACTCTAATGACAAGACAAAAATGTACAGCTCTTGACTTATCTATGAGCAGTTATTGTCAGGAACTGTTTCATACAGGGTACAATGGAATGAACAGAGGTGAAATCATCCATGGTCCAGTTATCTCAGAAAAACACAATTTTTTTAGTACAAAACAGAAAAGCACTAAAAGGCTAAATAATTTTCATGTATTTCTGAGTTGGTTCAAAATCCCAGACCATGCTCCCATGAACAGATGTTTCTTTCTATTTCCACCACTGCAATTTCTAGTTTTTACTAGTCTTCTACAAAGTAAGTTTTTTATTCTATTGTCATTGTTAATTTCTTTAAAGCAAAGAAAGGTTGGTAAGCATCTCTAATTCACTAGGCAAATCATCAAAAACTATCTTTTAATATTAAAAGAACAGCAAATTATATGGTTACTTTATTAAACAAAATCAACTAATTTATGTAGAGCACCTTTACTCTTTGTTATTGGGTTTCTAAACACATCTCAAGAAACACATTATTTCCCCTTTCCAAAAAATCTCTTCCAAATTTGATGAATGCTCCTTTAGTGGTCCCTGAAAAAAAAAACCCTATAGACATCTTTTAATTTACAAGTGTTTGTACACACTTTTAAATACGAGAACTAATACAACATGTCTGTGTCACTGGGACCATCAAATTCTTTTTCAACGGTTTATTGATGCTCCACTTGGTGAAGTTTGTTGAAGAATGTTAACTCAGAGAATGACATGCATGAATCTAAGTATTAAAGGCTCTCTGACCACACCAAGTGGCATTACTGTATAGAGTGGCAATGACCCTTGAATGAAAGCAAAACCCAAAACCTAAAATAGAATTATGGCTTATCCAGCATAACATTCTTGGAGAAGTGAAGTCACTGACACACTCCAGCTGAAATGTTCATGACTTCAAAGACACATCAACCCCACAAAGAAAACACCAGAATGGTTTTCTTTCTCTAACACTAACTCAAAGAATTACTCCCTCCCAATACTCATTATTTTAGGAAAAATTATGATAAACCGGAATTGCAGGTTTCACAGCAATATTTCTCCTGAAATATGCCCTGTCATATTTCACTGTAGCTTTAAACTGAGGAAATGGCATAACATTTTACAAATAAATCAGAGGGTAAAATAGAGATTGGATTCTTAAGTTTCCCACCAAGTAAATGGAGCTTCTTTACATCTTCATCAATTTAATGTACTGAGTCTTGAAGAATAAAGTGATTTCCTATGCAAATATATTTATTGAATAAACCTCTATTAAGGTACTGGTAAAAAATGTTTAAAAAATTCCTTCTGTATGGTGAGCTGTTTACCTGCAAATTTTGCTTATGAACTGTGAACACTCCCACCAAGAATGAGTCATTAAGATCAAAAACAAACTAACTGAGACTATGTCATCTAGCTTAATGTTCATCAACTGGGAGCCATAACTGGGCTCTCTGTGGTCCCAGAATATTCCAAGAAAACCCATGGTGGATGAGGCCCCGGCATGAGAGTAGGAGGCCAACTAACAGCACAAGGTGAGCCACAGTTCAAAAAGGGTTGAGAAATACTGATTTAGATCATACTGTCTTTTTTGTGGTCTAAAGAGTGAATCTGAAGATTTCAAAAACAATTCTTTGTGTATAGTACCAATGGTAGGTTTAAGAAAAATAGTTAAAGGTGAAGAATAGTCAAAGGTGAAAACTTGTTCTTCATCACTAAGAAGCAAATATCACCAACATCAGGAATGTTCCTGACAGCTGCTAGAAAAACTTTTATTTTTTCCTACAATTAAAAAAAAAATCCAAGTCATGTCACTGGAACAGGGAAAAGCAGGAAGCAATAAAGAGTAAAGTGAAATATTAGGTTTTCAATCAATCCACAAACTATGATTATTAGTACTCAACTACTCTGCACGAGCTTCCCATCACACCACAAATGCAGAGTTAGTGAACTGCTGTCATTACAATTAAGACAGTTGTTACTGCCAAAGAAGCGATGAGATGCTTGCACTCCACACCACAGGACTACTCCGTTACCCTTGAGGAGTCTGTGGGTGAAGAAAGCCCCTCAGCAGCATCCTCCTTGATAACCTCCTAACAACACAAAACAAGAGTGTGGGTGAAAGGTGAAGGGATGAGCTGAACAAAGGTGAGGAACAAACATGATGTTAAAATAATAACACGATACACTGTATGTGACTAGAGTCTTCCTTTGATGGCATTTGAAAGTTTAGCAGTTAGAAAGCTACAGCTTTCTTTGCCTCCTAATTTATAAAAAAGAATTAAGAGGAATTTTCTTTTTTAAGTTGTTAAACTAAATTTGTCATCAGGAGTAGCTAAATTTTAGGCACAAATGTGCTTTGTTTAGTCTAGAACTCAGTAAGTACATTTGAATAATTTTCCTTACCTATTTAGTTTCTGTGATTAGTTAATTTTTTCCCCCCACTATATGTCTCCAATTTTCATATGGCGGGGTTAGTACATATATCATATTAAGGTCCTTCAAAAAGATATTAGCATACATAAAGATTTAGTTTTAAAGTTTTGATTATATAACTACACTGTAAGTCTGAAGCTTTGGTTGTAAACAACTGGACATAAATTTATTGTGGCTATTCATCATTTATCTTCCATTGACCAGATATGAAGACAAAATATCTTTTATGTTAGTAATAGCTATGCTTCTTATTTATAAATTAAGCTGTGCTCTCTGTCTATAGAAAGGACATACCCAAACTTGCAGTACTATCTATTTTTCTTATATTATTACTTAATTACCCTTTTTTATACTTACTAGGCCACTGCTTTGATCTCTGGGCAAATTCGTTTTTACTGATGGACGTGAGATGAGATGTTGGGTACCGCCAGGGTAATACCTTGGCGTGTAAAGGTATGGGGCAAAGAATGGCTATGGAAAAAACACGTAACAAAAGAAGGGGGTAAACAGTTACAGAAATCAAAGTGTAATGAGATTTATCAAATGAAATTAACCAATAATACACAAGTCCAAATTTTCAATACAAATGACAAAACAAAAGAAAAAAACACGACTATGCTCTAAGACATAAAACACAAATTTGAAACATTTCAATTTAAATTTTTATAATGCTCATTTAACTAAGCTTTAGTTTAAAGTAAATAAAACTTTTTACCTTCAATTTAACAAGCTTCTCTTCTCATTTAACATTTGTATATAATAACCATTTCTAAGTGATTTACAAATATAAACTTATAATCTTAAAGGAATATTGTTCTTTATCAAAAGGTATTAATCTTAAAACACAAATAAATAAAAGTCCTGATTATTTGAAAATATCCTGATGAAAATTACAGCAATGCTGCTACTCCAAGTTTCTGTGTTTTTGCTTCTAGTTATTATTTACTCCAGTTACTGAGGCTTTTCTTTAAGGATAAAATAGGAAATCCATTGTTGATATCTATAACCATAGCACTTATTATGACAATTTCATATAAATACAACAAATATAAAAATTAAAATTCATTAAACTTACACAGCGGGTAGGGCGTTTGCCTTGCATGCAGCCAACATGGCCAACCCGAGTTCGATTCCTCCGCCCCTCTCGGAGAGCCTGGCAAGCTACCGACAGTCTCTCGCCCGCATGGCAGAGCCTGGCAAGCTCCCCGTGACGTATTCGATATGCCAGACACAGTGACAACAAAGTCTCCAATGGAGACGTTACTGGGCCCGCTCGAGCAAATCGATGATCAACGGGAGGGCCTTTTTATTAAACTTATACTGAAGTAATAGCATCCTCTTTTCTTCTGCCATCTTAAGAAAATTCTTCTATCCTTAATACTAAAAGTCTCAATAACTACAGTAAATAATAAATAGAAGTAAAAACACAGAAAAGAACAAAAATTTTCTAAAATCAGTATTTAAGGTATCATATGATTGTTATTCATGTATGATCAGTAAATACAGGGTCCTAGACCAGATGGCACACTAAATTTTAGTTTGGGGGGGGCCACACCGGGCTGTGTCAGAGCTTAGTCTTTGCTCTGCATTCATTGATCACTCCTGGTAGGGCTCAGGGGTTGTCTGAGTGCAAGGCAAGTGCCTTAGCTACTCTCTCTTTAGCTCCTAACTATTCTTTAAAATAAACTTTTGGTTTGAAAGCTAGCATCTACTGATCAATTGAGCCATTTGACATAAAATTATAGTATATTTTAGCACTGGTAAGTAATAACCTGCCTACCAAAGTTTTACATTTTACAAAAATAAACCACATTATTAAATGATATTCTATTTTTTCTCCTTTTACGAAGGAAAGAAAATAACATTCATAGCCTCCTTTAAAATGGTATACCTAATAACCCACACAGGAATATAACTCTTCAAAAATTGAAAAATTGATTTAAATTCTAATTCCGTCCTTGTCATATTTATTTTAAGCTTCTCTTTCTTCTAGTTATTCAGGAATTTATTTAGGAAAATGACTGGCTTTTATTAATATTAGCCATTATACTTTTTTGAACTGACTAAAAAGTAAACAAAAGTAAGAAATCAGGATCAATCTTCAGAGTATAATGCTAGGGATTATGCTCTATTCCTCATGGGAAATATCATGAAAGTGAGGATTATCTGGGAACACTGAACTTGATAGAGTCTGATAATATCTATAATATTAGCTGTGCTCTCTAAAAGGTAAAATGTCCTTCTTATGCTAAGTAAACATATTGATATTAGGTAAACAACAAAAAAAAAATCTAAGTTTACAAAAGGTGCTATAGGTGCTATTATTTGGCTATAATATCTGATTCCTATATATGTAACTTTCTATCATTATTTCACGTTTAAAAACTGTAACTAACATTAAATATAGGTTTACTGAACTATTGTAGACATTTAAGCTTATTATTTTAAGCAGGAATATAAATTATCATATAAAATTTAGCCAATGGAACATTTGTTCATAACCAAAGAAGCAGGTCCCCTGGAAGCATGGGCTAGTCACCGCTCAACAGTGGAGTTTACTTTATCAAGATAAGAATAAAAACTCTCATATTTAGACTCAAGTCATATATAGGTTCTGTTAAACTTCAAAATCATTTTCCTTTCAATAAATCATCTACTTTAAATTCAAACTTCACATTTTCCTATTGTATAGCCAAAGCAGTTTCAAAACAATATCAGAATCCATAAACAGAACGTTTCTGATATTTCCCAGGAACAAATTCTTAACAGTTCCTCCCACTCCCTTACCCTGTTGTAGAATGGATGCTGAGGTCCCGTCATACCACTGTAATAGCTGCTGTGAGGCTGTGGAGATACAACCCCTCCTCCAAAGGGACCATTGAAGGAAGTGGAAGAAGAACAGACAGACGGAGGCTGACTGTAGCCAGACGGTGCTCTTGCAGGAGCTTCGTGTAAAGACAGAGCAGGATATGCAAGTCCTCCGATATTAATCTGGTCTCTGGCAGCACGAACGTCTAAAAGATTAAATTACACCCCAGAAGGCAAAAGAAAATAGGACGTTGCTAATTAGTACAATTATTACTTCCTCTAGTTAGCTGACAGAAATGTGGTTTTCTCACTCTTGACAAGGATTCCAACTGTCTTAATAGTCAGGGTTTCTGAAATATTCTGTACACATTCTAGTGAGTGTAAAATCCCAATATAAAACCTACATAAAAAGGGGCGAAAGAGAGAGACCAAGGGCTAGAGCAATAGCACAGTGGGTAGGATGTCTGCCATGCACAGTCAACCTGGGTTCGATTCCCAGCAACACATATGGTCCCCAGAGCACTGCCAGAAGTAATTCTTGAGTGCAGAGCCAGGAGTAAGCCCTGAGAATTTCCAGGTGTGACCCAAAAAGAAAGAGAGAGAGAGAGAGAGAGAGAGAGAGAGAGAGAGAGAGAGAGAGAGAGAGAGAGAGAGACCAGAGCAATAGTATAAAGGTAAGATGCTTGCCTTGCATGTGGCTGTCCTGGATTCATTCCCGGCACCCCAATAGTCCCCTGAGCCCTGCCAGGAGTGATCCCTGAGTGCGGAACCAGGAGGAGGCCATAGGACCATTGGGTATGGTTCAAAAGAAAAATAAGTGGGGTGGGTTGGAGAGACAGTACAGCAGGTAAGGCTCTTGCCCGGAATACAGCTGACTCGGGTTCAATTTTTGACACCCTATGTATGGTTCTGTGACCCCCACCAGAAGTAATCCCTGAGCAACACCAGGAATAACCCCGAAACAAAACCAAACAAAAAGCTCCATAAAAGAACATTAAAAACCCTTGTGTATAATTTGAAGTTAGCAATATCTAGGTTCTTTTCTCTGGATCCAGCAATATAATTTTTTCTCTGATTTTTTCCTTCCTCCCTCCCTCCCTCCCTTCCTTTTCTTCCTCCCTCTCTTCCCTCCTTCCTTCCTTCCTTCCTTCTTTCCTTCCTTCTTCCCACTCTCCCTCCCTCCCTTCCTTTCTTTCCTTCTCCCCCCTCCTGCAAGCTACCGTGGCTAAACCTTTTGGGACTTGGAGGGAAATATTGGGGACTGAACTCAGGGTCTCCACATGCAAGGCATTGCCCTTTGGGCAATCTCCTCAGTCCCATGTCTTTTAAAGTCATTTGTTTTTGTTTTTTTCTTTCAACAATTCTTATGATTCAAAATGTATTACTGAATATTAGTAATTGCATGTCTTTTTTATAAATACTATTTTAGCTAACATACTGGGTTTCCACACTATATGAGTCATCTACCAGTGAACAATCACACAAAATTCCATAACCTCAAAGTACACCTCTGACATCAGCCTCATCACAGTTTTCTGAAAAAATAATATAAGTATAGTTTAAGTCTCTTTTAAATTTAGAAAACTGAAAGGTGGGTGAACAGTGCCAATATGACACAAAAATAGGGTGCTTTAATCAATATTTTTGTGTGTGCATACAGTGCTGCCTTAGAAACACCTCCTAATTCCTCAAACTATAATGTTTATATCTTCAGGATCTATTTCACAAATTCAAGCTAAAATCTGAAAAGTGATATAAAGGCCTTCTCCCTTTCTCCTCCCCACACCCCCTTTCTTTTTGGTTTTTGGATTGAACTCAGCAGTACTCAGAGATTATTCCTGGCTCTTGCTCAAGGGTCAGTCCTGGGAGAGCTTGGGGGACGATACGTGGTGCCAGAGATTGAACCTAGATTAGCCTCATGCAGGGCAAGTATCCTACCCACCGTACCAACATTTTCTTACCCTGAGAAGAGATCACTACTTAAAACAGAAGACTGGTGCAAAAAAAAAAAATGCACCAACATCTAATGAAGTTACTAATGAAGGAAATCTGATTCCAAAGTAAGAACTCTAGTGTGTGAGTGGGGAAACATAACTAAGTTTAACCAATAACATTTCTAAATGAATGCCAAGACTCTTAACCCTCAATTTTATTAACTGCCCTAATGCTTGATATAGTATTTCTCCATTTTTAAAAATATAGCAGGGAAATTTTATATAGATAATTATAAACAGGAAAATTTCTGAGACTCTCAGAAAAGAAAAATCAAATTGACTAATACTCACCTGCAATAATTTCCCGTAGTTTGGGGTCTAGGTTTACTGTGCATGGCAAAAAGGTCTTCACATCTCGAGCCACAAGAACTGGGGTCCGTGAAGATAAAAACACTTCAAAATTTCTTATGTCTCCATCTATTTCAAGCAGTGGCTCAACATCTTTTGTTGTTGGAATATTCTTTGATATTCTTCAGGAAAAAAAAATCAAATGAAAAAGGTCACAGATGACACAATCAGAAATACAAGTCCTGCATACAGAACCTATCATTTATAAAAATGTGTACAACATTATACATGTTGCTCTCATTTGAAAATGTGGTTTTTGTTTTGGGGGCTATCACTGATGATGTGATGATGCTGAGGGCTTACTCCTAGATCTGTGCTCATGGGACTATATGCAGTATTGGGGTTTGTTAGGAATCAAACAGGTATTAGCCATGTGCAAGGCAAACACCTGCCTGCGTACACGCACATACACAGTACATCACATAATAATAAGTACTTCTCAGGAAAAACAAAAAAGAGTCATCATTTTACAATGAGAGTAGATTTCAGGTAAAGAATCTGCCTTAAGTTATATAACTAGGTAAAAGAATATGATAATCTTTAAAAATCTGTTTATTATAAAAACACTATATTCTTGCCTTTGTAAAGAAAAGGAATCTATTCTAAATTATAAAACTTATCTCTGGGTTCGACCTTTTTGTTTCATTCAAAAAATGTTTTATTGTAGTTTAACTAACATGGCTACAATGGTGTACAACATTTACAATTTTAGACAAACTGGCAGGCTACCGAATGTAACCTGCCCACACGGCGGAGTCTGGCAAACTCCCCGTGGCGTACCCAATATGCCAAATACCAGTAACAATGATGGGTCTCATTCTCCTAACCCTGAAAGAGCCTTGAATATGGCACCTTCTTAAAAATCTCAGGGCTAGGATGACGGAGATGTTACTGGGGCCTGCTCGAAGTAATCGACGAATAACAAGATAGTCGTGATCGTGATCGTGGTGTACAAAGTAACATCACTACTATCCTTATGTCACTTTGGATTTTCCTCTTAGAAAGAATACTGGGGAACTGGGAGCAGGGCAGAGCCTCTGGAGAAGCACTCAAGTGCTGGAGTGCATTCCCAAGGATACTGAGCCCAACTGGGCTCACAGTTCTGTGCTAGTGCCTAAGGGTGTGTTGCTGCTTGACCTGGAGGTCCTGTGGACTACTAAACTAATTCCATGATACTCAGGAGCCTTCAGGGGCTACCTACAGTGATGCCAGAGAATCATGTGGTACTGGGGATCTAATTCCTATACGATTTCTAACCCCTCTACTAGCTCCCTGGCCCCCAAAAGAAAGATTTTGTAGAGACCAGGAATGTGTAAGAACTGGGTCTGATTCCTTGCATTGCAAAATATTTATTTTTAATTACAAAAGGTTTAAATTTTATTTATAAATTATTACATGTTAATCATAAATATATGATAAAAATAAAAATATATACACAATAAAATAAAAATACATATGACTTGAAATACAGAAAAATAACTCAGTGACCTCAAATTACCAATCACAATTACTGCAAATATAGAATCTCATTTAGTCATTTTTTTACATTGTTTTTGGATTTGCTTATTAAACAATTTTGTATCAAGCAGAGGTGTAGTGTAGAAATATGTGGCACACATTCACTAGAAAGTATTTGGATAACAATAACATACTTATGTTGAACTATGTGAAACTGCTACTTCAAAGTAAAAAATGTCCAATTCTGACAATTCTGTATGTTCAATCTAACATTCCAGGTAAAATGCTGATCAGAGGTAGTATGTAAAAATGCTTCACAAAGAGATGAAATGTGAAGGAGTGATTTAAAAAGAAAAAGATGGGGCTGAAGAGATAGCACAGGGATTAAGCTGCTTGCCTTGCATGTAATTACCAGGGATTAATCCTCAAACATCACTACCAGCAGTTATCCCTGAGTACAGAACTAAGAGTAAGCCCTGAGTACTAATGGGTGTGTCCCAAAAGAGAAAAGGAAAAAAAAAGAGTGAAGAGATAGATAGAAAACTAGAAATAATCCAAATGTCTACTAATAGATTAATAAGTAACAAGTGATATATCCACGTAATGGGAATCTTATTTCACAATACAGAGGAATGAACTTATTAACACATGCAACATGAATAAATCTCATAAATAATGCTGCATATCAAAGAGTAAAGAATACAGTTGTAAGATTTCACATAAATATATCTATAAAATGTAAACCAATTCAAAATGACAAATATGACATGGAGTTCCCTATGAAGTTAGATGTGAGAAAGAGGAAGATTCTAAAGGAAACTTTTGGAAGTGATAATTGCGGTAACAATTTTTGTGGGCCTATGGACAAATGAATTGAGAAAATTTTTTAAAAATGAGATATTTCATATATAAAGTATATCTCAAGAAAATATGCAGCTTAAAAATAACTGTGCATTCAGATATCTTCAAACCACCGAATTCCCAATTAGTCAAGAATATTAACCAGGTTAACGATAGCGCAAAGGTCTGGAGCACAAACTTTGTATAGTGGAGCCCTGGGTTCAATTCTTAGATCCACATAGTCCCTTAAGCGCCACTGTGTGTGACCCCTCTCCCACAAACAGAACACTTACTCTACCTATAGTGAACACTAAGATTTTCATGTCCATCAACAAGTAAAATGAATTCTTACTCTAATATTAGTTATTTATTCAGCACTCTACTGCTCAGATCCAAAAGCAAATATTTAAAAACACATCTAAAGGAAAATCCAGATAGAGAAATTAGCAAAAACAGAAAAAGATAGGGTACTAGTAAGAAACTGAGACTCTCGACTTTGTCTTAAAGAATTCTAGGAAGTTCCTTTGACTCACAGATACTTGTATGAAATAGAAAAGTCCTCTGAAATGAGATTATTTCCTGTGGTAGGGCATTTGCCTTGCACGCAGCTGGCTGGGCCAACTCGGGTTTGATTCCTCCGCCCCTCTCGGAGAGCCCAGCAAGCTACCCAGAGTATCTCGCCTGCACCGCACGGCAGAGCCTGGCAACTTACCTGTGAAGTATTTGATATGCCAAACACAGTAACAAGTGTCACAATGGAGATGTTACTGGACCTGCTCGAGCAAATCGATGGACAACAGGACAATGCCAGGACAGTGACAGTGAGATTACAATGCATTTAAACAAATCCACCTATACTTAAAATGAATCAAAGAACAGGTGCACCTAAAATCATTTGCAAAATGGCTGAAATACCAGCACTTAAACAGTTAAAAAGGTAGTTCATCTATTCCAGGAGTTCAACATAATATACGGAGACGCTAGGAAGATTTAGATTAAAAAAAACACAGCTGACAAGTCACATGAAGCAAATTAGCTGAATTTTAATGCCGACTCTGCTTATGCTTGAATATGAACAGTGTTCTCAACATGATGAACAATAGTGCTGTTCACAAGCCAACAGTCTACTGCTGGTTTCCAGATTGAAGTCTCTATTCTAACCTTTTGAGCTCAATACATTAAACTCTTTTACTGAAAGAGATATTTATGTAAATGATAATATTTTGGCAGAGAGCCACCAAAATCATATGTGCCTTTATTTTTCAGATATTTTTCCAAAGGTTAGTATTTAAAGAATTCAAGTAACTTCACTTTTCAATTAAGAGTGAATTTAAATTTCCAGTATTATGAGTCATGTGAATTAAAGTTGCCAGCAGTTAAATGGCTCACAGAAAGCATTATAAAACCTCAGGCAGCAATGAGCCCCTAGTAAGTTTAAATGCGATTTCTTTCTATGCTACCAATCTAGCAGTATTTGTTAACGCCAATATCAAAGTAAGTTAAAAGCACTTTGATTATAAATGACAGCGGTTCATAGAGAGTACATATTAATTTCTTGGCAGAGATTACAAAAGGCATCATATCACTTCCACTCAAAATGAACTTTTACATGGAAAAAATTATATTTTAAATAATAAATATAAATGGGTTATAAGAGCATAATTTATATAAAGGTACAATTCATTGTACTTTACCTAAAAGGAAGTGATAATATAATCATAAAGCAGCTAAAAACTAAGAAAAATTTCTTAAAAAATTTGAACAAGGTTAAAAAAGTGCTCTTTATCTAAAAGTAACTGACAATATAATGTAATAGAGAGGGTGCTTTACCTAAAAGTAACTGATAATCTAATTTAATCATAAAGTGGTTCAAAGGTAAGAAAAACTTCTTAAAAAATTAGAAACAACATAAAAGCTCCCAACTGTCCTAGATTTTGAAAGCCTTGAAACAAATTTATAGCAGACTCTCAAATACTTCCTATCCATGAATACCGATTTATTAGAAGCACTTTTGAGATTCTGGGAGATAGAGGGAGCTCAGAGAGAAAATTGCCACTCAGCATTGTAGCCCAATGCCCAGAAACAATAGAAAATGAAAAGTATTCTTGAGCCTTCTATTCACCTAAGGAAAAATTACCAATAACCTGCCACCAAAGAAACTAAGGACCCTCTCCTGTCTGCCTTCACCCAGTAAGCTATCCCTCCATTTGTCCTTCTGTACCCAGCTCCATTCCCTACCCTTCAAGGAAGTCCCTCCCAGGAGCAGATTATGTTCCACTACTCTGAGGACTCAAAGCACAAATAATTGACTGACCCCATGGGATTAGTTTAAAGTCTATCTCCCCTTCAGACTATAATTTTTTTTTTTAAGCTTTTGATTTTGTTCGGATTGGCCATGTTGGTTGCGTGCAAGGCAAACACCCTGCCTGCTGTGCTATCACTGCAGCCCTGGAGTGTCACTCCAGCCCTGGAGTGTCACTCCAGCCCTGGAGTGATAGCACAGCGGTAGGGCGTTTGCCTTGCATGCAGCCAACCTGGCTGAGACAGGTTCGATTCCTCCACCCCTCTTGGAGAGCCTGGCAAGCTACTGAGAGTATTCAATATGCCAAACACAGTAACAAGAAGTTTAACAATGGAGATGTTACTGGGCCCGCTCGAGCAAATCAATGAACAACGGGAACCAGATTTTGTTCACCAATGGATTACACCCATGCTTAGCACAGAATACCATCACATACTTTTTACCAAATAAGTATCTATACAATGTATTAACTGCTTCATCACTGTATCCTTTATGATACTGAAAAAAATCACTATGCTTGGG